ATTTGTAATATGGTGCTACGAATGGTAAAACTCACTGACGATGCCGCCTACGATGCCGACGAAACATCTGGGAATGTACCGCGTCCACGGTCCGACTTTGGAAAAAATTATGCATACAATGGGCTCAGGACAAGGTGCGTTCCTATAAGTCTTCCTACCAATATGAGCAAGTTGCGAAAACAAGATCAAACAACTTCTATACAAAAGGTTTATACTAATATATGATTTGGAAAATTATTGGCTTGGTTGAAATTTTATTTAAAATGTAACTAATTGGCTCTTAATCCAATAACAATCTGTACGAGGCTCAATAACTCAAAAATAAAAGAAAAAAACAGATGGTTTGCAATATTCTGATGTAGGCTAAAAAGTGTCTGACATAAAAATATGAAATTCCGTTATAAATAGATCACTTCCCTGATAATTTTGCAATGTAAATAAAGAAATTTAACCTCTAAAAGGAAAGAATGTGGTTCGCCTTAAATAATCCAGGTGTCGAAACAATTAAAAAGCATATTAGACTTAACGTAAATGAGAGCAACAATATCATATTACGTTACGTATATTTTAGAAGCGAATATAAATGGTTTGATAACAAATTCTGCTCCTTGCATCCAGAAAGCTGTAGAAGCTATAACCAACTGGCATGACAGAGCACAATTGCCTTTTAGTTCAAAAGGAAAGATAAACAGAACGACTTATCTTTTGGAATACGAAATGTAGTAGATAGTGATGTACTTGTACAATTTAGAATTCATAGAAAAAAGTATAAAATCAAATTTTATCTTTCATCCAATTTGCTAATAGTCAACTATTAATGTGACTCAATGCAGAATGGGGTTGATTAAACGTGGTAATTAAGAGCAGTTTCTCGTAAGGATTGGCACAGATCTGCATACAAAAAGCTGCTGATGGAGAAAAAGGTAAGAGTGAATTCTGCTTTTTTGGCAATATCTAATAACCTTTTTCTGATCTATATTCGAGCATGATTTTCAGGCATCCTAGAAAATGTACACTAACCGGTAGATGCTTTTAATAAATCAGAGTCTATTCGAATAGAGGTGATGTATTGTTCTGATTTAGATAAGGCCAACAAATCTTCTTCTCATGTAGTGAACCCGTAGATGTCGCTGCTGAATAACACTCTTCCTTGATCGCCGCAGTGATTTGTTGTTCACCAAATTAAGTGGCCTCCATCCGATGATTTCCTTGACGGCACTGATGAATCGAGCATCTCTGACAATTAGCAAGTGTTCAGCGTGTGGCAAAATGATCTCTTTAACTCTGGGCCACTTACGGCAGATGTGCAGGCTACGCAAGTTGACAGTGCCATCACCGTCGCCATAAAGCTGCTCAGGCATTTGGTCTGGAAAGGCCTTGTGGAAGAAGTTAGCAGGAGAATAAACTAGTTTATCAGGAGTCGGAACCTGAACGCCATATATACAGTAGACCTCATCCACACCCCAAGGTCCAGCAGTAGTGTTGACAATGTTCAAGGAGTTCAGATAGTATTCATAGCCTAGAAGAACGTTTGAGTATGCAGATAAGAAGATGTGTAGCCGGAGGTTGAAAATAAACGAAGGATGATCGATGTGATAGTGAGAAAAGGAAGACTAGCAAATGCATATGGAGCAGTTCAAGCATGTTATACTAAAAAATATGCGACGGCAAAAACACTGCCAAAATAGGTGAAATGAGAGTTTTATGTAAAAGGATGGCTAAGAGGACTCAAAGGTCAAAGAACTTTCAGAGAAGAATATGATGAACGAAGATACGGCTAAAAGAAATAAGGATAATGTGAGATAATAGGGAATAAAATACGTAAAATTAGAGGCGAATATGAAGGATAACAAGGGAAAGGGTCGACATAAGGATGACTCAAAGGTTCGACAGAAGGTAAAAGATATGTGGGTCAGGCCGAAATCACGACTGATTTGTCATACTTATGTTCAGCTGGGTTTGGTTGAAGCATTG